AACTTTGGAGGAAACCTGCCCGGCTTTTAGCATGATGTCTTACCTTAAACAGCCCCCTTACGGCATGAACGGTCTGGGGCTGACGGGCCCCGCCATGGACCTACTGCATCCCTCCGTGGGGTACCCGGGTGAGTGCCCTGTGCCGCGGCCCCCTCCCCGTCCCTGCCATCACCCACCCGTGGCCCGACGGGCGCCTGCCCGGGAGTCATCGGAGGGGGGAAAAGCTCCAGCCCGGGTGGATTTGGAGGAGCCCATGCGGGCTGTTCGGTTTGCGGTGGGCTGTGGGGTGGGTACCCCCCTTTGCCCACAGACTGGGGTGGGCTGTTTCCAGCTGAATTTTCCCCCGTCCCTGTGCCTTCTTCGTTCCCGTGGGGATTTTTGAGGATTAAGAAAAGCTTTTTTTTTTTTTAAAAAAAAAAAAGGCGATTTATTTTGACACAACGAAATCTCCCCGTTGCTCCTGCCAGGGCTGGGCCTGACCCTTCCCCAGCCTTGTGCTGCTCACCGGGCCCGCAGCAGGACCGGGTCCAGCTGGGGTGGGCAGTGCCTGGCTGGGGGGCAAGGGGAGCACCACCGCTCTTTGGGGTCACAGCGGGGGATACTTTTCAGGCCCCTGCCCCAGTGATGCTGGGGGTTCCCACCATTCCAGGGGTGTGCGGGAGGTGTGTGGGGACTAGGTGTGACTGGCGTGGCGATGCTCTTCCCTAGCCACCCCACGGAAGCAGCGGCGGGAGCGCACCACCTTCACCCGCTCACAGCTGGACGTGCTGGAGGCACTCTTTGCCAAGACGCGCTACCCTGATATCTTCATGCGGGAGGAGGTTGCCCTGAAGATCAACCTGCCCGAATCCCGAGTCCAGGTACCAGACCTGCGTGGGGAGGAGGATCCCTTGCTGTCACAGGTTGGGGGGGTATGGAGGGCACTCTGGCTCGGCTGGTGGTGCTTGGAGCTGGCTCGCCATCCACACTGTTTCCTCACAGCTGGGATGTGTGTGGGCTCCTGGCCACTGGTCTGTCCTGCTGTGGGGACATCCAGGCAAAGTGGGGCTTTTATTTTTCTTTTTTATCCTTATTATTAATTTTATTTTTATTCATATTTTTCTGTCCCTCTCCACCTGCTCCAGGGCAGAGCAGCCCTGCTACCCAGGTGCTTCCCAGGGACGCTCTTTGCAGCACAGCTCCCCAGATGATGGTGCCCAGCAGGGTGGGATACCCAGGCTGCACCCCACACAGGATCTGTTCCCCCAAAACCATGTTTTGTCACTGTGCTGGGGACGTGCACAAGCTGGGATCACCCCAGCTGCTGGCCCTGGGTATCCCTGCTTGGGGCGGGATGTGGGGTGACCTGGGTGCCAGGTGGGGCAGGTTTTTTTATGGGGTGCAGGGGTGTGTGGTGCTAATGGCTGGGTGTGGGTGCTGGGAGAACTGGTGCTGGGGTGAGATTGGCTGGGTGCTCCCGGAGTGAGGAGAGACAGCAGAGCGAGCGCTTATGCTCTGCCCCTGCTCACCCTGCTGCTCATCCCCCTGGCACCCCCTTTTCTCGCTCCAGGTCTGGTTCAAGAACCGCCGTGCCAAGTGCCGGCAGCAGCAGCAGAGCGGCAGTGGGGCCAAAAGCCGTCCGGCCAAGAAGAAATCCTCGCCGGCTCGCGAGAGCTCGGGTTCGGAGAGCAGTGGGCAGTTCACGC